TTCCCCATAGATCCCCCTCGCCCCATAGAGACCCACAGCACCCCTGTGGGCCCCATAGGGACCTCCTCTGCACCACAGAGACCCTCTCTACCCCATAGGGATCCCATAGCATCCTCCTGTCCCATAGATCCCCTGTGAGCCCCATAGAGAGTTTTTCTGTCCCATGGAGACCACATGGACCCCATAGGGACCCCATAGCACCCTCACCCCTTGCCCCACACATCCCCTTTAAAGACCAGTGGGGTCCATAGGGACCCCCCCCTCTGCCCCATAGATCCCCCATAGAGACCCAAAGTGATTGTCACTGCCCCATAGAACACCCCCCCTGCCCTACAGATCCCTTCTCTGACCCATAGGAATCCCATAGCATTCTCCTGCCCTATAGATTCCCCCCTAGAGTGTCATGTGGAGCCCTGTGGGCCCCACAGAGACCCTCTCTGCCCCATACGTCCCCTCTCTGCCCCATAGGGACCCCATAGTCCTTCCCAACCCAAGTGCTGTGGGGGAGGGCCCCCCCCTCCCCCCGGCATGGGGCAGGAGGAAGCCGGGAGGGAGGGGCGAGGGAGGGATGTGGGGCAGAAGGTGAAGGGTGGGATGTGGCTGAGACACGCCGTGGGGCAGGCTGAGGCTGTGTGGTGCTATGGGGCAGGCTGTGTGGTGCTATGGGGCAGCCTGTGGGGACCTGTGGGGTAGGCTGGGATGTGCTATGGTGCAGGCTGTGGGGCGCTATGGGGCAGAGTGGGATGTGCCAACGGGGAGGCTATGGGCCAAGCTGTGGAGCGCTATGGGGCAGGCTGTGGGGCGCTGCTTAGCGCTGTGGAGCTCTGTGCTGCTGGGTGGGATGCGCTGTGGGGCAGGCTGTGGGCTGCTATGGGGGAGGGGTTGAGGTGACAATTGTCCCCACGAGGTGACACATTCCCGGGGGGGGGAGAGAGGGCACACGAGAGTGACAGCTGCGTCCCCCCTCCCCCCTGAGCCCCATGGATCCCTTCCACACCATAGAGACCCTGTAGAGCCCCACAGATACCTCCTCTGCCACATAGGGACCCCATAGCGTCCTCCTGCCCCGTAGAACCCCCATAGATCTCGTATAGAGAACCATAGAGCTCCTGTGGGTCCCACAGAGACCCTTCCTGCCCCATAGAGACCCCATAGCACCTTCCCCCCCGCCCCATAGATACTGTACAGAGCCCCACAGAGGCCCTATAGAGCCCCATAGATCCCTCTTCTGCCCCATAGATCCCTTCTCTGCCCCATAGGTACCCCATAGCCCCCCAACGCAAGTGCTGTGCCACACAGGGACCCCCCTGCCCCATAGGGCCCCATAGAGACCCCATGGGACCCATAGAGACCCCCTCCATCCTATAGAACGTTGTTGGCACAGAGTCTCTATGGGGCGGGGGGGATCTATGGGGAACAGTGGGGGGAGGGGATGCAGCTGTCACTCTCATGTCCCTTCCCCCCCCCGTGGGAATGTGTCACCTCGTGGGGACAATTGTGAACTCAATCCCCCCCCTCCCCGGCCCCGCTGTCACTCTCACCTGGTGGGACGGGTCCAGCGGAGGCCACGGAGATGATCAGAGGGATGGAGCCCTCTCCTGTGAAGACAGGCTGAGGGAGATGGGGTTGTTCAGCCTGGAGAAGAGAAGGCTCCGGGGAGACCTTAGAGCCCCTTCCAATATCTGAAGGGGCTACAGGAGGGACTCTTGGTCAGGGAGTGCAGTGACAGGACAAGGGGGAACAGTTTTAAAGTGGAAGAGGGGAGATTTAGATGAGATACCAGAAAGAAATTTTTTGGTGTGAGGGTGGTGGGAGCCTGGCCCAGGTTGCCCAGAGAAGCTGTGGCTGCCCCATCCCTGGAGGGGATCAGCTCTTGATCATCTGCATAATCTCCACTGGACTCTCTCTAATAGTTCCCTGTCCTTCTTGAACTGGGGAGCCCAGAACTGGACCCAGGACTCCAGATACAGCCTCACCAGGGCAGAGCTGAGGGGGGGATGACCTCTCTCCACCTGCTGCTCACACTCTTCTTAAATTGCCACCGAAGACCATTGGCCTTCGTGGCCACAAGGGCACATTGCTGGCCCATGGGCAACTTGTTGTCCACCAGGACTCCCAGGCCTGTTTCTGCAGAACTGCTTTCCAGCAGGTCAGCCCCTAACCCGTACTGGAGCATGGGGTTACTCCCCACAACGTGTAGGACCCTATGCTTGCCCTTGTTGAATTTCATCAGGTTCCTCTCTGCCCAAGTCTTCAGCCTGTCCAGGTCTCATTGAACGGCAGCACAGACTTCTGGTGTGTCAGACACTTCTCCCAGCTTTGTATCATCAGTAAACTTGCTGAGGGACCACTCCGTCCCCTCATCCAGGTCATTGATGAGGACACTAAACAAGACGGCTGTATTCGGCATTGCTGTGGCCTCAACTGGAGCAGTGTGTGCAGTTCTGGGCCCCACCATTTAAGAAGGATGTGAAGGTCCTTGAACACATCCAGAGGAGGGCAACCAAGCTGGTGACAGGACTGTAAGGCATGTCCTCTGAGGAGCAGTAGAGCTGCCCCGTCCCTGGAGGGACTCAAGGCCAGGTCAGATGGGGTTTGGAGCAACCTGCTCTAGTGGGAAGTGTCCCTGCCCAGGGCAGGGCGTTGGAACTAGATGATCTTTAAGGTCCCTTCCAACCTAAACCATTCTTATGATTCTATGATCCTGGGTCACTGAGCCAACTCCATGGAGAGCACAGACACACTCAGCATTTTGGAGCAGCCCCCCAGCTCTTCTTCTTCCAGATTTCTCCAGTAGCATCAGCAAGCCCAGGGTAACAGGCTACAAGTCTGGGGAGTATAAAACTAGGAGTCATGGGGTGACCTCGCGGCTTCCCTTCCCCCCGATGTGACTCCTAAGCCCTTCAACAGGGCTGGCCAGCCCCTCTGGCACAGCAGGGTGGGTTACAGTGACCCATGCTTGGGACAAACCTTCTAACCTTGGCTCTGCCCACCTCACCACTGCCATCTCCACCCCAACTGGACAGTCCGCCTCAGGAGAGACTGGTGAGCCCTGGGGCCTGCTCAAGCAAGGCAAGAGGCTGGAGGGGATGCTGGGGACAGTGACGTGGTACGACTGGGGACATCCTGGGAGTGCCACAGGCACCACCCGGTGCCGAGCTTTCACCTCCCTCCCAGCTACAAAGTCTGTTCTTGAGCAGTTTGGGCAGGTCGAAGCTGATGCTCTTGGAGAACGCTGTGGTAGAGGTGGGTCCCACCAACACCCACTGGGGTGAAAGGGATGGGATCCTCATCTTACCCCCCACGCTCACCCTCCTTCCCCCCTCAGCCCCTACAGATCACAGGCAGAAGGAGGAAACACCTGCCCGTTGCAGAAGAGTTGGCTGACACAAGCCTGCATAAAGTGGATGCAGAAGTGAGAGACCCCCCCAGGCATCCCACCCCACGGCCCTGCAACCCCCTGGGAATCCTCCCATCCTTCATTCCCACCCAGGGGGGATCACTGTGCCCCCCTGCTATTTGAATTTATACCAACAGACAGTCCAGCTCAAAGGATGTCTACGCTGGCATCACCTCAGGGCATGAGCAGGGCCCAGTCCTGGGGTTTTAAATGCATCTTTTAATGGTGCATAAACCCCCCTGCCACCCCCACAGCCTCCCCAGTGCAGTAAATCCACTGTTGGAAAGCTGCAACCCACGGGGGTGGGGGGGAAGGGTTGGGGGGGTGACACGTCTCCTCGTTACCACCTGTGGGGCTGGGGGTAGTGTGTGTGTGTGTGTGTGTGGTGACAGGGACAACCCAGGGCAGGGACACACAGGCCCCCCCAGGGGTGGTGGAGATGATTATTGCTGGTACTGGGGGACGGGAAAGGGGGGGGAACCTCGTTTTTGGTGACAGAGGACCTCGTGCTAAACTAACCCTGAGCAGAACTGACCCTGGGGCCACGACGCCCCCAGGGCCTGAGGTAATGGGGAGGTGGGATGGACAGGGACGGAGAACAGCCAGCCCCCTGGGGCCGGGGGGGGGCCTGGAAATGTCCCCGAGCACCAACCCTGTCCCCTCAGCACAGGGGCTTCCCTGAGGGAAGGCAGGGGTGGGGACTCACCACCGACCCACCCCCTATGGAAAATGGCTTCAGAAGTGCTTCATCTGGGGAGGGGGCCATGTGCCTAGATTAACCCCCGACTCCAGTTCAGCCCCCACAAAACACTGCCAGGCGACGGGGACGTGCCCACAGCTGGGAGTGCCTGTGGCCTGCAGCAGTGGGGGGCGAGGGAGCTGTGACCCCCCCCCCATTCCATCAGCTGGTGCTGGGGGTGTCCCCACCCCAGCACCGTCACGTCAGCAGCTTCCTCCGGCGGTTCTTGACAGGGCGTCCAGGCCACCGCGCCACAGCCAGGTCCGCCTGGGGGGGAAATCATGGAGGAGGTGGGGGGACACAACAGTCTCCCTTCCCCTCCCCTCTCCCCGCTCCGTCCCACACGCGCCGTCCCTGTCCCCACTTACGGCAGGACCAGCCCCGGGGCCGGCGCTGAGCCCCCTCCGCTGCGGAGTCTCCAGGCAGGCGCTGGTCTGGGGGATGCTGCAAGGACCACGGGGTCAGGCAGGGGGTGGGGGGAGGAGGGGAAGGTGGCAGGGCCCCCCCCGTGGCCCCCCGTGCTCACCTGGCCTTCCTCCTCCAGCCCCGGCAGGACGGGCGCAGCCGCGGAGAGTTCCCCTGTGTGAGAAGGGGGTCAGCCTGGGGGTTCCCACTGCTCCAGCATCTCCCAGTCCACCCAGTGCCTCCCTATAGCTCCCAGTCCTGGCTCCACCCTCGCACCTCCTCCCAGTGCCCCTCAATGTCCCCAGTGGGTCCCATTATCTCTTTACTGCTCCCCCATGATATGCCCCACCCCAGCACACGCTCCCAGTGCCCACAGATACCTCCCAATGGCACGCAATGGCCCCCAGTATACCCACAACAGCACCCAAAGGTTGTATCCAGAGCCTCCCCGTACACCCCCACTGCCACCCCACGGATCCTTATATGCAACCCAAGGGCTCCCAGTAATCCCCCAGCAGAACCCAGTATTCCTCAATAGCTCCCAGTAGGTCCCAGTACCTTGATCTCCTCCACTCTGAGCTGCTGCCCCGTGGCCGGGATGTCCCTGCTGCGGTGCCAGGCAGAGTGGGGGGCTGGGGAGGCTGCAGGGGGAAGCCCCTTCCCGCTCCTGTCACTTGCCTGCCCATTGAAGTGCCGCCGAGTGCCCCAGCCCCCCCGGCCAGCCCCACGCCGGGGGGTCTTGGTGCTGGGGGGCCCACAAAGGGACTGCATCTCCCTGTTGAGCCCCTCATCCCGCCGGCGGCCCCGCTTGAGGGGGGGCCGTGAGGATGGGCACTCCTGGGCACCCCCACTGGGTCTGGGGCTGCCCAGCTCAGCCAGACGGGGCACAGGGGGCTCTAAGGCACGTGGGGTGCCCTCAGGGGGGCCGGGAAGTGCAGGGGCACTTGGGAAGCCTCCAGCGCTGGGACCCAACAGCATCGCTGACTTCTCGGGGCAGCTGAATCTGGGGCCCAGCTGTCAGGGAGCAGCGAGAGTCAGCAACCCCCCCCATGTGTCTCCCACATCCCTCCTTGTCCCACACAACCCCCTCCCTGGATCTCCCCCACACCCATGAGTTCACCCTTTGTGTCTCCCCAGGGCCCTCATGTCACACCAACACCCCCCTGCCTCATCCACCTGGTCCCCAAGTCCCCCCTTTGTCCCCTCCAACAACCCCAGGCCTCCCCCATCCTTTCCTGTGTCCTCCCATGCCCTTCACAAACGACTGCCCATCACCCCCCGGCCCCACCGCCCCGACATGGTCCCCCCCACAAAGTTCCAGGGCCCCTCCAGCCCTGCCTGCCCCTCACATGCCCACCCCAGCAACCCACCTGCAGGCTCTGGAGCAGGCTGGCCAGGTAGCCCGTGGTGCTGAGGGGGAAGCCCGGACCCAGCGACACTTCCAGGGGGGGCAGCAGCGGCTGGTTCTGGAGCAGGGGGCTCAGCACCGGTACATTGCCTGGGGGTCGGGGGGGGGAAGGGAGCAGACATCACCCAGCTTCCAGGGGCACTCCTTGCTCCCTGTGGCACGCAGCACGCCCCGGTGCTTCTTTGGGCACCCGGCGCTCCTCATCCAAGCAGTCCCTCCACCGATGCCCGGAGGTGCCCCCAAGGTGCCCGTCCCCCAGCCCCACTCACCCAGGAGCGCGGTGCTGAGCAGGGAGCTGCCCAGGGGACAGCGCAGCAGGTCGTGGGGCTCCAGGGCGCTGGTGGGGCTGTCGGGGGCCCGGACCTCCTCGCACAGGGGCTCAGTAGTTGTGGGGAGAGTGCCAGTCGAGGTAGGTGCCACAGAGGGGCTGGCAAGGCTGGACTGCTGGCAAGAGGGGCAAGTTGGGGGCATCCCCAAGACATGAGGCAGAGACACCCCCAGGGTGTCCTCATCTTCTTCCCATGCCCTGGGGGCAAGTGCCCTTCTCCCTGGGGCAAAGACTCTGCTCTCCAAGGGACAGAGAAATATCACCACCTTCCTCCCCAGGGGCAGCCACTGCTCCCCAGCCCGAGTGCCAGCACCTCCCACACTCTCCTCCCCGGGGCAAAAGCCCTCCCTTGACCTCATCCCAGGGACAAATATCCTTCCTGCCTGTGCCTCAGGGACAACGTTCCCCTGCTACCGCACTGCAGGCAAAGTCCCTCCTCTTCCCCAGGGTTAAATACACACCTGAGACCTCGCATCTACAGGGGAATTCCCCCTCAAGTCCCACCACCCTCTCCCCTACAGAGAGGACACGGCTTCACTCATCGCCCCCTCCTCCCCACCTCACCCCCTCGATCCCTCAGCAGGGGGGAAACTCCCGTTTTATGACCCTCCCTTCTGCAAGGGGCAAACACCCCCTCCCCATCGCTCTCCTCCCTCCCCTGGGGCGACCCCTCTGTCGTCTCACCGGGGGGGTGGCGGGGGGAGGCTCGGAGGGGCCCAGCCCCGGGGCCGGCTGCGTGGGGTGGAGGGCGAGCGAGGCGGGCGGCGCAGAGAGGAGCGAGGCTCGGTCGGGCAGCGTGGGGCAGCCCCCAGGGCCCCTCTCCCCGGAGCCAGGGGGCAGGGGCAGCAGGGCAGAGAGCAGCGTCCCCGGCGAGGGCAGCAGATCCAGAGCAGGCAGGGGGACGCCGAGGGGCAGCGGGAGCAGAGAGGCCGCCAGCAGGGAGGGTAGGCTGGGCCCCTCGGGGTCCCCCCCACTGGCTGGTGGGTGCTGGCCCAGGGCTAGCGAGAAGGGCAGCGTGGCCAGGAGGCTTGGCAGCAGGGAGGCCCCCAGCGTCAGCGCCTGCTCCTGCCCCAAGACTCCGGGCCTGCTTGCAGGGGGCAGCGAGAAGCCTGGTGCCCCCCCAGCACTCCTCTCCCCATTACTACCGGTCCCTGGAGCCACAGCATCTTTGGGGACACCTGGAGAATCATAGAATCATAGAATCATTGAGGTTGGAAGAGACCCTTGGGATCATCGAGTCCAACCATCTACCCTACTCTACAAAGTCCTCCCCAATTCCATATCCCTCAGTACCGCATCTAAACTTCCCTTAAACACATCCAGGGACGGTGACTCAACCACCTCCCTGGGCAGCCTGTTCCAACGCCCGACCACTCTTTCAGTGAAAAATTCCTTCCTAATGTTCAATCTAAACCTCCCCTGTTGGAGCTTGAAGCCGTTCCCTCTCGTTCTATTGTTAATTACCTGCAGCTGCAGGTAATTAACCTACCCTACAGGTGCAGCACCTGCAGGGTATGGGGTCAGAGATGTAGCTGCCACGGCCACGTCTGCTGCAGGCCCATGGACGCAACCCCCCACATCCTGCCAGACCCACAGCCATGTCCCACTCACCATAAGAACAAACCCACAGCTGGGTCCCACCATGTCCCACCACATCCCGCATGACCCACAGCTACATCCCACCGCCCCCAGCATGAGCCTATGGACACATCCTGTGAGACCCACGATCGCATTCTACCAGATCCCACCCCCCGCAGCACAGACCCCCGGCCACATCCCGCTGGGTCCCACCACCTCCCACCCAGCCCCACCGCCACAACGGCCTCCCTGTGGGCAGGACACCCCCCCAGCACCACTGCTGCAGCCACCCCAGGGTGGAGTCCGTCCCCAGCTGATGGAGGGACATCTGCCGCAGCCCTGCTCCCCACCAGCTACCTGGCCCCACAGGCGCTGCCCCACATACCTGGGTCGCTGGTAGGGCCAGAGGCTTTTGACTGCGGGGAGGTCCCTGAGGTGGGTTCAGAAGATGCTGCCAGCTGCCCGAAGAGACCCAGAAGCTGCCCCGTGATGTCCCGGCTGGGGGGCAGGAGGCCGGTGCCAGGGCAGGGCGAGCCACCGGTGGCAGGCGGGGGGCCAAGGGGGAGGCTTGACCCCACCAGATCCCCCTCCCCGGGGCAGCCCTGAGCGCCCAGCAGGCTCAGCAAGGCTGCCAGAGGCTGCCCGGGCACTGCAGGGGGTGTCCCTTTGGGCTCGGGGAGCACCCTGGGAGCTGCTGGGTCCTGGGGGCTGGCGCGCCATTGGGCCCCCCTGCCCAGGGCTTGCTCACCCAGGAGAGAGCGCATCCCGGCGTGGGGGAGAGGGCCGGGGGGTAAAGTGCTGGGAGCGGGCGCGGGGTCGGGGCTGCCCAGCTGGGCCGTGGTGGCCGGGCTCGGCAGGCTGCCGGCAGAGAAGGGGATGCTCGCTGGCAGCAGCCCCGAAAAGCCCCCGCCCTCGGGGACGGTGTCTAAGGGCACTGGCGGGTTATTGCTTCTGGGGTCGGTTAAGGCACCACTGACCGGAGGATCCACCTCGCCTGTCGGGGGGACACTGGTGGTGGCCGACAGGGATGGCCCCAGCCCCCCTGGCTCAGAGCTTTCTCCAGTCCTGCCCGAGGGGCGCTGGCTCTGGGCCACAGGGGATCTGGGGGGGGTCATCGCATTCGGCAGGGGCAAGGGGAGGCTGAAGCAGGGGCTGGCAGGCGAGCAGCTCTCGGGGATGCCATTGGCCCCAGGGACAATGCTGTGGGGCTGCAGGAAGGGTGGGTTGATGAGACAGGTCCCCATGGGGGCGGATGTGACCTCCGGGGTTTTCATCCCCAAGGGGACCCTGGGGAAGCTGCCGACAGCGCTGGGCAGGGGGGTGCCGGTGCTGGGGGCCGTGGCCGGGTGCCCCTCGGCTGAGAACAGCAGGGTCAGGCCAGGACCTGCGGGGGGACACGGGGGTCAAGCTGGCACCAGCAGGGTCTGGGCACCCCTATCCCTAAACTGGGATGGATTGGAAAGGCAGGGGAGGGGAAAAACGGTGGGGAAAACAGAGTGTGACAGAGAAGACAGGGGAGCACTGGGAAACACAGGGAAACCAAGAGGGCACCAAGGGGACTGGGGTGGGTGGCAAGAACCCAGGATGTACAAGGGAGACAGGAAGGGTCTGGGACTGGACAGGAGCGACCAGGTGGTGACAGGGACAAGATGGGGACACCAGCAGGGACGTGGAGGAGGACGGACCAGGGACTAGCGTGGACCCCGGTACCTGTGCCTGGGCGGCGGGGGCCAGGGGGCCCCTCCATGCTGCGGCAGAGCGCTGCCATGGCCACTGCTTTCCGGCGGTGGTTGCAGAGTTTGGTCATGTCCTGCTGTCCCTGGGCCCCAGGGGCCCCTCGCCCGGCCACTGCTGCCCCTGGGTCAAAGTTAAACCCCTGCAGGGACAGGGTAGGCTGAGAGTGGCAACCGGCCACTCCGCAGGGACCCCCCCCCAGACCTCATCCCCTGCCTCCTGAAGCCAGGGCCACCCCTGGCAGCCCCGCCATGTCCTGGGGGTGCCCCCGGCGCAGCCTCCCCCGCACCTTGTGCATGTCAAGGGGACACTCGAGGCCACACTTGCAGGTCCCGTCGGCCAGGAGGTAGGCGCAGGTCTGCTCCAGCGAGGTCAGCGCCGTGCCACTGGGGCTGGGGGGGCACATGGGGTGAGCAGAAGCCAGGCAGCGGGGTTTGGGGGGCGGATGAGGGGGCTGCTCCTTACCTGATGTAGCAGACGGAGCCCTTCTCCACCTTGCGCTGCCAGCCCACGGGCACGGGCCCGGCTGACGGGGACGCAGGCTGCTCTGTCCTGGTGCCACCATGACGACTGCTCATTGTGCCCCCGCGTGGCACCGACACCTGAGGCGGGCACTGCCAGGGGGGTCACACTGGGAGCAGTTGCGGGGGGGAAGCAAACAGGACAACAGGACATGGCAGGAGCGGGGGTGCCAGGGCACTAGGGGACCCAGAGGGGCTCAGAGGGGACCCTCAGTGGGGCCTGAGGGTGCCCAGGGACGTAGAACGGGACTGGGGGGCAGCAGCCGCCCCCCGGCTTTGTCAGCTCTCCCCCCAAACACCAGCCTCCGCCGTCCCGTTAATCCCAGTGTCTGGGGCGGGCAGGGACAGCGGTGACCTACAAACGGCCCGTCGAGGAACTGCAGCGAAAAGGCGAACAGCTGCTGTGGGGCCTAATCCCCGGGGGCGGGGGGGGCCGGGGAGGGGCGGGGGCTGCCCGCGGGCACCTCTCACCTGCTCATCCCTGCGAACGTCTCGGCGTCGGGCCCGCGGGCGGGGGGGGGCGGTGGCC